GGGGCGTGGTGTGGGGACCTGAAGCGCATAGCTAGGGCTGGAGAGTAGGGCAAGTTTTGAAAGACAGAGGCACAAAAGCAGCTGTGTGAGAGAAGTGGATTGGAGAGAAAAGGGATGTATTTAAGGTATATTGTTATGTATCTGCTTCACAATGTTCCAGCTATGAGATTTTTTTAAAAGTTATTTTGAAATGTTTTCAGGTATTTGCCTGTGGTACTGAATCATACGGGACACACTTATAAACATTACACAAAATACCATTTCCAGCCTATTGAAATTTCTAGACAAATTGAGTAATGTTTGTGGCTACCTGGCTATTTCATGGAATTGCAAAGATAAAAAGCTTCATCAGTAGAGTAACCTCACCCAGACTGTTATGAGTTTAGAATGAAAATACTCTCATGTTCCCTGGAATAGTCCAGGGTGTAAATATTAGTAGTGTATCCTCTTTAAAGTAGCCTAGAACAGTGTAATTTTTTTTTTAAATAAAGTTTATTGTACTGGTTTTGGGTTTACATATTTATTACTGCTAAATAATTATCATTTTGAATTGCTAATAGGCTATAATCACCAACATCAGTAATAAAAATTTAAAATATTCATAAAACTGGGCTGAAAATGTGCTCCCAGGTTTAGTGGGCAGTGAAGAATCTGGTCAATGCATAACTTGAAAAACTAGTTCTTGAGAATCTTACAGCATGTTTTAGCCAGAGTGAAAAATAGCCCTCTTCTAATAAAAAAAAATGTACAAATATCTTGTACTGTTTTGGCCTGTTCGCTATATTAAAGTGCTTTCACAAAACTAATACCACGGTGCCAATTCAGTATAAAACGTTGGAAAGATGTTCCTCCTTTTCTTCAGAAAGTTGATGTACCTTTTCCATGTTTGTATTTGCTCAAAGATTAAGCTTTGTATCTGGGGCATTCCTGAGTAGAAGTGTCTCAGAAATAGAAAGCTTGGACTCTCAAGGCTTCATTCATTTAGCCAACATCCCGGGAGCCATCCTTTGTGCACAGTATTTACTCAACGCCAGGTCAAGGCACAACGGCCAAGAGGAGGCAGTCCCTGCTCTCGGGGAGCCACCGGCCTGGCAAGCGAGGGGACTAACTAGGAGTTTTAAATAAATAACCTAAAGTATAGAAGGGCGGCTGATGATTAGCCAGTTAACGTGTCTGTAATTAAAACAGTAAAAAGGGTGAAGATCAATCACATAAATGCAAGGGTTCCCCTGTCGTCTGTTCCGTGTCGCTCCGTGAAGCCCTGGGTCAAGAGTGCTGGAGCTAGAGCCGGGTCTCGAACTCGACCTTCCTGGCAGGAGGGTGTCAGGGCGCAAAGTGGAATAGGAAAGAACGAGGGGAGTAAAGCGGCGAGGGCAGCGGAGGAGACGCGGCCCACACGACCCCCGAGGGCGCTGCAGCAGGTGGTACAACCGGGCGGGGGACCGTTCCACCCTCAGCGCAGGTCTTCCGCCTGAGACAGCCCAATCAGCAGTGGGACTAGCTGTTTGACTCGAGGGTGGGCGCCCAGCGCGTGGCGGGGCCGAGAGCGCGTCGGGGCACGCGCGGCGCTACCCGGGTCTCGGGGGGCGGGCTCGCAGCGAAGCCCCGCCCCTCAAGCTCCTCCCCCCAGGGCGCGCGAGCC